TAAACCTCTTTTGCTTTAAATTATGGGCTTTAGGAATTTCCCTGAGATGGAAAAGTTGACTAATATTCTCCATCTTGAAGATGAAAGATCAATTTCTCTGTCATAATTTTACTATTAAGCCCAACCAAAAACTTCATTTGTAATTTCAGATTTTTCTTTTCTTAGTTCTAAAAATTCCAATTGGTTATTTTTGTATTTATTTTTTTGCTGAGATTTCTTCTTAGGCATACAAACATACTGCTTTACTTTATTAAATATAATTTTTAACAGTTGTTATTGTCTTTGTCAGATAAATTCAACATCTGGATGGTCTTGGGGTTGACATCTTGTCTTTTTCTTTTGAAAACCACTTCACATTTTCCAGGCTCATAATTTACATGATATCCTGGATATTGTGAATATTGCATTGTGAGAATTCTGTGTTATGTCCTTCCATGTTAATGTTTTTAATGGGCGATTAAACAAAAACCTCATTAATATTTAGTGAGCAGAGAGAGGCTCAGATGTCCATTCAGACTGCTTCAGTTTGCTCTGGGCATGCATGATATATGCCAGCCAGAGACACAGTTGAAGCCTATACAGTGTAAGGCATTTAGAATTTCCATCCCCACGCTCTCTCACTTGCTGGGTTTACTCCGCACTCTTCAGTGGTCCTGGTTGCTCAGAAACCCCTGCCCTGGTTTTTCCAGAAAGAAGGGTGGTAAGTTTTCTATTGGAACTTTAATTGCGTTGTGTCAGGTCTACACATAAGGCAAAAGTGCAAGGTACTCATTCTGTAAGGGTCACTTCTTCCAAGTTTTGATGCCCTCCAAAAATATGCTTGATTTCTGTTCACTCTCTAGAGCTTTCAAGTAATTGATTTTTTTTTTTTTTTTTTTGATATGGGGGATCGAACTCGGATCCTTACGCTTGCAAGGCAGGCAGCGGAACCACTGAGTTAAATCCCTGGCCCCAAGTAATTGATTTTTAAACTTTTTATAGAGTTTATGTGTAGGAGCTTACTCCTCAATACTGGAGGTAGAAGTTTCTTAATAATTAAAAATAAAATGGATGTGTACATACTTCATATTCCTAAAGTACCAAAATAACTGTTTTTCTTTCTGAAGTGCAGCTATTCTGCATGTTAAGACAGATGTTTGCTGACAACACTGATTTTTCTCCAAGATGAAAAGGAAGTATAGCAGCCAAATAAGCTCCAGACTCTTCTAGAATTTTAATCCTAGATTGATATTAGATGGGTCAACACACTCATTCAACTATCAAGCATTTAAGAGAGGTACTTAGGACTTCCGCAGTTTTAGGTTTGAATCTATTCATGCTGTCCATTTCCACCACTTTCTTCAAAGAATAGAGGTAAATCATGTTCCTTTGCTTTCCACGGACACTTGCCCAAACTCCTGCTTCCTCTTCAACTGCCTTTTTTAACATCTGGTGTATTTGTTTTCAACATGCAGCAATGCTGCCTTCCCTAACCCGCTACAACTCTGATACTGCATCTATTTACATTTTCTTCTATTTTTCCAAAATAACCCCTTAACTGAGAAAGACAAAAGGGGCTTTACTAGGCTCAAAAAGTCCCAGGGCCCCCCCTTTTTTTGGTACTGGGGATCGAACTTGGGTCCTTGAACTTGCAAGGTAGGCAGTGGCACCACTGAGCTAAATCCCTGACCCCCACCCCGTTTTAAAAGAATATTACCTACAAAATCTACTGTTTGAATTATGTACCTACTTAATCTTAACCACAAAATAGTTTCTGTGCTTATTCCATGAAAAGCTAACAATAATCCCTAAAGCAAAGACTTTTTAAAGTCCAAATGGGCAAATATTTGTTATATATAGTGTGCATAATATTATTTTTTATTTTTTTAATGCAAAAATTTCACTACAGTGAGCAAAGATAAATGCATTAGTACAATAAGATGTACTCTGAACCTTAAAATAAGGAGTGCCTCATTTGGTCAAATTATTATTATTCTGGAATGAATAACAATGGTTAAGTCTTTTCACTTGGGCCAGGAAAAAGAAATGCAAACAGTTCATACTTGGTTGTGAAATAAAATTAAGGAATGCAGCTTATTAAACCTCAGTGTATCTTCAGGATTGATGAGGCCCAATTTTAATGTTTGAGTTTCTTCTTTGGGCAACTTCATTTGTAACTATTCATATTGCTTACCTTACACTTTCTTGACATGCATCTCTCAAAGAACAACTAAAAAACCCCCACTATTCATAAAATGGCTAACAATAAAATTCTATTTTGCAATTACTACATGGATCTACCTGACTCTATATAAATTGAAGCTATATAATGGTATCTTAGGAAATATTAATTTTTTAATATTTTGAGAATTTTGTTATTTTATTACCTTTTGAATTAGTCATTATTCAAATGGATTAATGGCATAATGGTACTGAAGATAAATCATCATTTATCATGTTTCAGTTTTCATATTATGCTGCCTATAATTATTTTGGATTACAGGTGTGTCCACCATGGCTCATTTATTCTTACTTATTTATAGCTTTCATTGAACATATTTCAGAGTTCTGAATTTTTCATTTTCTGCCCATCATATTAAAAAGAAAACTGACAGAAGAGTTTTCAAAATTATTATACAAATCTGAAGATGAATGTAAAGAGAAAAACAGCATTCTTGACTTTGATGATGATGTTGGTCATATAAGTAAAATCTCAGACTGAATTCTCAGACGATACAGAGAAGTTATTTTTTCAAACTCTAGAATAAGGGAAAGGGCAATGAATTTTGTAAAAACAAAGAGGAAATATGACATTCCTATCTAGTTAATCATCCAACAGGAAGGATATTATCATGGTATATTTTGAAAAGTAACTGAGAACACTGATTGCATTTTGCTAAAAGGATGCTATATGGCAGTGTTTGTTCATTCTTCAGTATGCATGTATAGTAAAAGTTACTTGATACTTTTTTTTTTCCCCTGGTACCAGGGATTGAACTCAGTACCTTATGCTTGCCAGGCAGGTGTGGCACCATTGAGCTACACCTCTACCTCTACTCAGTAATTTCTTTTAAGTGAAGTGCTTAAGGCTAACGTATATACAAAGGGGGACAGAAAAGAAATTGATGATATAGAAGTAGAAAAGCCTCATGCAATCATAGGTGGGGCTTTATCAGAGGTAGCTGGATCTAAAGTATATGACTATTTGATTCATGGTGCAATGCTAGGATCAAGGGCACTAAAAGGGTGTGAGTGCTACAGTGGGTAGCCTGGGTAAGATATAAGGGGCAAAGAGCTATGGTCCTCCCTTTGTTGCTTTTGCTGTCTTAGGCCTGCAATGAACTGTTTCTCCTCTGTGACATCCCTCCGCCAAATGCCACTCTGCCTTAGAGCCAGCCAATCATGGACTGAAACCTCTACAAACTGCGAGCTAAATAAACCTTTCCCCCTTTAACTTTAGGTGTTGAGTATTTTGTCTCAGAAACAAGAGAAAACTAATTAAGACACAATAAAATAAGGTATTAATGAGTATCCCTAACCACTACCCTCCCACTCTCTGCAAGATAGAGCTATCCTTGAAAATTTAAACGATAAAAATAAATTCTATGGGCCTTTTGAGATAGATATGCAAAGTCATCTTAAAGATAAAGCAACAGGCAGCTCAATCCTGTAATTCCAGCACCCTGAAAGGCAGGTAAACTGTAGCCCAGCCCAGGCAATTTAACAATTTAGTGACCTCTTATCTCAAAAATAAAAGAGTTGTAACTCAGTACAAAGGCTCTGGGTTCCATCTGCATCACCAAAAGGGGGTGGGGGAAAAACATAGAAAGAAAAAGTAACAGAATAAGACATGGCAGAATGTATAAGAATACAATAACCATTGATATTAATGCAAAATACATCAACCTAATGGAGTGTAGATGGTCAAAAACAAAAAGGCAAGCAAGGTAAACACTTCAGTGCCTATTAAAGATATCCATCTCCATAATAGGGATAACCTAGCTTAATGCTATTAACCATTTAGACTCATAATTCCCCTTGATAGAAGATAAAGATATGACACTGAGAAATGAAAAAAGAACATGAAGTATACATTTGAGATTAAAATAAAGAAGAATTGTGGGGTTCAGAAAAATGGAGAGTAGAGGCTCTTGCAATACTGAGACAGAAAACAGCACTGAAGTAATAATTAAGAATAGACACAGGGCTGAAGCCATACCTTAGTTGCACAGCCTCTGCCTAGCATATATGAATCCTGGGTTTGAATCTCAGCATCACACACAAAACAAACAAATAAATAAAAATAATTGGCATAGCATATGTGTCTTCTCCCTTAGCCTATGAATCCACCCAAACAGGAAGATTTTCAGGTTACGGAAGTCCCATTACAGCTTTTTTTCATTATTCCTCTCACAGTTTTTCCCCATCACTGCTTCAATGACTGCTACAGGTAGAGGAGGACCAGAAGAAGGAAACCAGTAACAGGCACCTAGTAATGCACAACATTTACACACAACATGGAAGTCCCATTACAGCTTTTTTTCATGCAGCCTTTCATTATTCCTCTCACAGTTTTTTCCCATCACTGAGGAGGACCAGAAGAAGGAAACCAGTAACAGGCACCTAGTAATGCACAACATTTACACACAACAGCAATGTAAAGCATTAAGAGGAAAGAAATTAGCACCAGCAAAAGAAATTAGGAGAGAATATTCCACAGCTGTCTGTTGTTTTTGTTTTGGTTTTTTGAGACAGGGTTTCACTACGCAGTTGAGACTGACCTGGAACTCACTATGTAGCCCAGGCTGGTCTCGAACTTACTGCGATCCTCCTGCCTCAGCCTCCCGAATGCTGGGATTACAGGTGTGTGCCACCATGCCTGGCCTCCACAGCTGTGTGTTGCAGGGACTATTTCTATGAAAAGAATAAATATCGGTTTTGGTTTTTTGAGACAGGGTTTCACTACGCAGTTGAGAATGACCTGGAACTCACTATGTAGCCCAGGCTGGTCTCGAACTTACTGCGATCCTCCTGCCTCAGCCTCCCGAATGCTGGGATTACAGGTGTGTGCCACCATGCCTGGCCTCCACAGCTGTGTGTTGCAGGGACTATTTCTATGAAAAGAATAAATATCATGATTGGCCCAAAATCAATTACAATGCATTTTTATTCAATAGATTTTAAGATAGACTTTTCATGTTCTAGGAAGCAACTGGGAAAGTTTGTTTGAGCATTAAAAAAAAAAAACCAACTTGATAAATCCTTTACAGTTCATACACAGACTAGTAAACTTGGGTTGCTTACAGTGGGTATGAACACACTTGCTAATATCAAAGTCTAACTAAAAATAACTAATTTGGAAGATACGCAGCATGCACATGAGGTAAAATACAATCATTTTAGTACCAACACAATAGATTAAAATGTATAGGTAATTCCCTCAATACACCTACAATTATTTTACATGTGTTTGTATATGTACTTCTTTAAGTAGACTTACGGCTATTTTACAGTAGTTTGGTACAATGTCACTAGAGATATATTACATGCAAACTTCTTGCAGCCCCTTATATTTCTGAGACTAGAATTTTCATAAATGGAGGTAGATGCATTTAGCACATTTCACACAAATGAATATCCACTTTGATATACTCATGGAAATATGAGTTTATAAATGCACATAACAGCACCACAACTGGGATATACGTGATAATAAAGAATGGTTATATTAATAATGACATGTATTAAGCAATCATTTATTAAATATACATTCAAAGTCATATGATTATTCAGGATGAAGCCAGTTAGGATTCATACCCTAGACTATTCCTTCAATTCTAAGCTTATTGTGAATCATTAGTAGAAACCTCATGATTCTTTAATGGGCTTGAGAGGAACCCTGGGGGAGGCCAGTATGATTTATTGGCTAAAGGAGGAAAAAATGCAATAAATGGGCAAATAGTACAGACTTAATTGGAAAAGTCATAGCAATCTGCTGAGGAGCTTTGTAAATCTTTTAAATTTCTGAACTTCATTTAGAGGACATGCCTAATGTCACATGAATGGCAAGTCAAAGAGAGACCTATACATTTATAGTACAGTATTTTTAATGTACCAAAAATCAAATTCATTTAGAACATGCCTAATGTCACATGAATGGCAAGTCAAAGAGAGACCTATACATTTATAGTACAGTATTTTTAATGTACCAAAAATCAAATCATTTACATGACAACTTGGGTGGAAAAAGAGATCAGGACAATACTTGCTTAAAGTTTCAAAGTTTTATTATGATCTCCTAAACACAGAAGGCCCCATCCAATTCTACCTTAAAAAAAAAATCTTTGACTATCTTAAAGTCCCCATAAAGAGAGACCTATACATTTATAGTACAGTATTTTTAATGTACCAAAAATCAAATCATTTACATGACAACTTGGGTGGAAAAAGAGATCAGGACAATACTTGCTTAAAGTTTCAAAGTTTTATTATGATCTCCTAAACACAGAAGGCCCCATCCAATTCTACCTTAAAAAAAAAATCTTTGACTATCTTAAAGTCCCCATAGTAGTCAACATAATACCTTGTATGCTGAATGGTTGTTTTTTTTGTTTGTTTGTTTTGTTTTTGTTTGGGCTTTTTTTTTGGTTTTTTGAGACAAGGTCTCACTATGTAGTTGAGACTGACCTGGAACTCACTATGTAGCCCAGGCTGGTCTCAAACTCACAGCAATCCTCCTGCTTCAGCCTCCTGAGTGCTGGGACTACAGGTGTGCACCACCATGCCCGGCTGCTGTATGTTTTTTGAATTACATTCTGAAAGACAAGGGCTAATCTATTCATTAATTATAATGAATGCCTTCTTAATCCTTAGGGATTACGATAAAACTTATGAAAAAAAATGGATGAAAAAAGTTTAAAATTGTCGCATCCAAAGAACTCAAATTCTTAATATATACAGTCTCATATTACCATCTAAACATTTATCATATGCTAGTAGAATCTATCCGTGTGATGCTTGACAAAAGATTTTCATATATGTCAAGTCATTTTTTCCTTAGCTTCTCCTCCCACCTGTACAGTTAGAAACAGACTATAATGAAAATAATATGCATCACATACACTGCCTATTGTTTCTCGTCAGGCTACCACTCCAAACTATGAAAAAGGTAGCCTTATATTCCCCACTCTTGGGAAAAGCTGATTAAAGCACTGGCTGGCCAACTATCTGCTTCTTTTTAGGGATCTGAACTGACACTGAGAGGACACAGAAATTGAGAGGTAGTTAAACCAGGATAGACAAACATGCAAGGTGAGAGCTGAAAGAGACTGAGAGACAGAGACTGGAAACACAAGAACTCAAGAGATGAAAGATTCCATGAGGCCTCAGAGATGGACAGCAAAACACCAAGTTTCCAATATGTACTAGGACAGCTGAGGATTCCGAGATCTCTACAATAATCCTTCTGTAAATTGAGTTATCTTGCATATATTGCTGCCTCCTCTAATCAAAAGAACCCTTGTAGAACACATAACAAAAGTATGTAATTTGTCAATCATAATAAGCCACTTCATTACTATTCCCAGTGTGGCTCATTCTGAAATTGGAAGGCAGCTATGCTCACCACTGTACCACCAATGCAGGCGTCATTCTGAAATTGGAACTTATGCTACAGTCTCCTACGATTGCTTACTTAGAACCACTCTACTGCTGTCCCCTGTCTTGAAGTCAGGAGGAAGTACTCGGACTCACAACTGGGAATTCTAACTAATTCAACCCTTTTAGAGAGTCTCCTTGGCATGCTGTAAAATATATATATGCCATTACTGAAAATTTACCCAAAAAGTTTCAGACAACTGAACAAAAAAAATTAAACATTTCTTATATAAGCATATAGCAAGAAATGAAAATGCTTATGTGAGAAATGAAATTTTTCGACTGCTTATAAAGAGGATTCTATGAAGCAATTAAAACCAAGCCATAGGGTAGTGCAGGGAAGATATTTATAGTATATAGTACTGTTAAAATGAATATCTGAAACAGACACTTTCCAGATAACAAAATCCAAATGGCCAATAAAGACATGAAAAAATGTTCGACACCACTGGCTATTTGACAAATGTAAATTAAAGCATTACGATTCCACCTCACTCCAGAAATAATGGTTCTCAGTAAGACAACAAATAAATAACAAATGCTGGTAAAGCTCTGGAAAAGGGAAAGGAAGCCCTCTTCATAGTTGATGGCAGTGGATTCCTCAAAAAATTAAAACTAGAAATTTCATTTGACCCAGCTATTCCCCTTCTAGATCTTTTTTTCTTTTTTCTCATTGAGTTTACTGGTACATTTCAGGTATGCAGCACAGTTACATTCATCATTAGGATATTGCACCTTTACATGACAAGTCTTGGTTCTCATTTTTTCCCCATACACCTGCCCACCCTTCACCCCTTCCTCCCTTCCCTATTTACAAATACTTTATTTCCATTTTTTCATTTTCTCATGTTTTTTCCTTTTCTCACATTACCTTTCCCCTACCTTTCCCACTTCCCCTACACCTTTAGCTCTTTTCTTCCTATTTTACATTGTCAATTACATCATTAGGATCTTATGTACCATTATAGTTTTTCACACCAGAGAAATTACTTGGTATTTATACATGTGTGACTTATTTATTTCACTTAGGAGTATATCCTCAATATGTATCCATTTTCCAATGAATGATTCTAATTTCTCATTATTTATGGCTGAGTAGTATTCCATTTTATAGAAAAACCACATCTTTATCTAGTCTCCAATTGATGGGCAAATGGGCTGTTTCCAAGTTTTAGCTATTACAAACTGTGCCACTATAAACACAGGTGAGCATATATCATTGTGAATGGACTATTATCTAGAATATATAAAGAACTCCAAAAAATCAGCCCTCCCAAATATAAAGACCCGATTCAAAAATGGGCATCTGAAATGCACAGATATTTCTCAGACAAAGAAGTAAAAGCAGCAAGTAAATATATGAAAAGATGTTCCATATAACTGGTCATTCGAGAGATGCAGATGAAAATACCCCTGAGATTCTACCTCACCCCACAAAGAATGGCTGTTATCAAGAAATCAAACAATAACAAATGTGCATGTATTTTATTCTTCCATTGCAACTTCTTTCCATTAACACTAATAAAGTAAATCTCAACCTCTACTATGATGTTCTAATCATTATAGAGAAATCTTTCTGTACTTAAAAAATTTTACTTATATAAGTACAAAGAAATTATGTAGCAAGAACTTTTTTTTTTTTTTTTTAAAACAGGATCTCCCTATGTAGTTCAGACTGGCCTAGAATTCACTATGTAGCCCAGGCTGGCCACAAACTGGACAATCCTTGTGGCTCATCCTTCTGAATGCTGGGATTACTACTGTGGTGCACCACCACACCCAGCTGAGAACCTTTTTTTTTTTTTTAACAAAAAGTCAATTTCTCTCACATTAATACTAAATAATGAAGCAATTTCCCATTGAGTAAGAGGGCACCTTAGTAATCTAAGTACTGGTGATTACAATCACACACAAGCTGTAAGGACATCAAATAGAAAGTTCAATTAAAAATAAACATATACTCCTGTGATTCTCAATTTCAGTATGAACTGAATTTCTCAATAATTCACATAGTGATTTTGAAAACTAGTGCTTAAAAGAATCAGAAATAGGAACTCTAACCTTATTAGGAAATGGTAAGGCAAAGTAAAGCAGAATTCAACATTTTTAAAGACATACTTCCTGAAATTCAAGGAAAAGGAAAATTGTATTGAGGGTTTTTTCTTTTGAATGAAATCTTGAGATTATGTTTTAATATGTTGACGCAGTATTTTCAAAATCTTTATCTCTCAAGCCTTCATTCATTTGATTTGTTTTCAATTATGCATTATCATGATTTCACAATGGGAAAATGATTTGTAACTGACTTTTGGCAGATTGAATATCTATTGAGTGTATTTGTCAGAACACTTTCTTAACTGTTTTTCCTGAAGATCCTAGTAAAGCTGGCCTCTCTCCATTGCTACCAGTTATTTTCTGCCACCGTGCCTTTTCCTTCAACTTCAAAGTATCCTCATCTTTCCATCCTGGTAAGAAGTAGGTATTCTAAAGTTTAAAAAGGAATTTTACTGCTAGCAATTATAAGAAAATCGACAAGATATAAAAGTAGTTAACTAAAGGAATGCAGCTACAAAATCAAAGGGCTCACAATGTTATCTTTACAATGTCAGCAAAAAGATAATTGACAAGATATTAGATTTATTGCTCTTCCCACCCAATGCACCATCTTTCTATTGCCTATTCCTTTATTATTCAATAAAACTATTGCACTTTGGCCTTTCTTATATTAGAAAGGTTCTATTGCAACCTTCCTATCTTTCAGGGGTAGGTAAGTAAAAAGGGTTAACGTGGGCCTCAAAAAGATACTCATTTATAGCTAAGAGGTAGCTTAGGCTATCTCCCGACATTCTCATTTTAATTTAAAAATTTTCTAATGTCACTTGTTCTGACAAACTCAAAATTATTTTCTAAAAAATAAAAACTCTATTAACTCTACCAAGATGAAATGTTTGTGAGGCGACCGAAGGATTTCTTCAAAGTTGGGAAACGCCAAGTATGAAGTTTAACTTCTAAAGAACAAGATAAGAAGATCATCAAGATTCACACTGCTAGTTATGGGGAAAGAAACCCATTTGTCACTAGACAGGTCACACACGCTGTCCCCCAGGCTGTAGTTGAGGCGAAAGTGCCGGCACAGTTTTGCCCAGGCAAGCCCCAAGACGTTCCGGAAAGCCGCCATGGAATGCAACCCTGACATCCTCACCCGACAGTTATCTCCTGCCCTGGCCCGCAGTTCGTCATAAATACGCCAGGCAGAGACAAAAGCAAGGCGGAGAGGACGGTACACTCAACTGTCAAAGTAAGCCCACCCGTCGCCAGACTAGGAGACTTCCCTGCGAAGGACACTCACCAGTTGCCCAAGACTGCGACTACAAGTCCCAGGAGGCTGCGCGGCGGACAGAGCAGCGTCCTTCCCAGAATGCCGCTCAGCAGCGTTCCTATCCCGTCCTCTCCCGTCTCCACCCCGCCTACTTTTCTACCCGTCGTCCCCCGCGAGGACCAGAGGTAGGGTACGGGAGGGGGATCCCAGCCTTGGGCGTGTGGCGTCAGACGCCGGGCGGGGGACGGGACGGGACGGGACGGGGAGAGGTGGAAGGATGGAAGGGGAGGGCAGAGGGGAGGGGAGGGGATTAGGGAGGGAAGGGTAAATAGTGGGCCAGGCAGGAAGATGGCGGCGGTAGCGGAGGTGTGAGTGGACCCAGGTCCCGGCAGTTGGATTTTCTGTTCCCTTCTCCTTCTCTTTTTCCTTCTCCGACTTGAGGTTGGCACCGAGGGGGCCGAGTTCAGGTGGCGGCGCCGGGCGCAGCGCAAGGGTCACGGCGACGGCGGCTGACGGCTGGAAGGGCAGGCTTGCTTCGCCGCTTGTCCTCC